TAGGCGCCCGCCGCCGCCGCCGCGGGGTGCAGGCCGTAGGGGCGGCCGTAGGGTCCTGCGCCCGCCGCCGCAGCCAGGCTGTAGGCGCCGAAGCTCTGCATCATGAGCGCCGTCTGCTCGCGCAGGTGCTCCTGCTGGTGGCGCTTGAAGCGCTTCCGGCGCCGCAGGAAGCTGCCGTTGTCGAACATGTCCTCGGACTGGGGGTCCAGGGTCCAGTAGTTGCCCTTGCCCGGGTTGCCCGGCTCGCGGGGGATCTTGACGAAGCAGTCGTTGAGCGACAGGTTGTGGCGGATGCTGTTCTGCCAGGCGGGGAACTTCTCCCGGTAGTAGGGGAAGCGGTTGCTGATGAACTCGCAGATGCCGCTCAGGGTCAGCTTCTTCTGCGGGCTCTGCAGGATGGCCATGGTGATGAGCGCGATGTAGGAGTAGGGTGGCTTCACCAGGCTGTTCTTGGGCTTGCTCGGGGCCAGACCTCCCGCGGCACCGCCGCCCGCGCCGGGCCCACCGCCGCCTGCCACCGCGTCCTCGCCGCCCTTGCAGCCGTCGGCCTCCGGCGCTCCGGCGTCGTTCCCCGGCCCGGCCGCGGCCGCCTCGGTGGACAGTGCCAGAGGTTGTTGGTGGGGCGGCTGAGACTGGCCGTGATGAGCGGCCGCCGGTGGCCCCTCGTCCGCCTCGTCCAGGCGCAGCTCCGGCGGCCCCGCGGGGCTATCGCAGCCGGTGTCGCTGTCTTTCTCATCCAGCCCGTCGTCGCCCTCGCCCACCACATCGATGTCCACGTCCTCGGCCGTCAGCACCGTCTGGCCGGACATATCGCTGGCGCTGCCGCCGCCGGAGAGGGTCATCCCTCCACGGGGTTGGTGGCGGCGGCCGGGAGCGAGCAGAGGGCGAGGGGGTCCGTGAGGGGCGGCCGCGGACCTCAGGGAAAGGGGGGTGCGGGTGCCCCCCGAAAGAGCGGAGGGGGAGGGGAAGGCACAGGTAGCTTCGGGGCCCTCCTGGGTCAGCTCACACCCGGAGGCCCGGCATCGCGCGGTGCGGGCGCTGCGCTCCGCCGCCCGCAGCCGCGCTCCACGAACTCCTGCGGTCCCCGACGCTTCCCTACGAGGCGGCAGCTACTGCTCGCGACCCCGAAGGTTCCTCCACGCCGCGCCCCCCTTCACTTCGCCAGCCTTCTTCGGCCTCTCTGGCTTGGGCGTGGGGGCTCAGAAGCTGTCCAGGCGAGAGCGGGACGCCGGGTGCCAAGCAGCTCCGGAGGGCGCGGACTGGGGCAACCGCGGGGGTGGGGTGGGGGTGACAGGGACGCCAAGCCCGGGTAGTCGAAAGTCCCGTTTTAAGGACTGGCCTGATAGATTACTTTCTACTTAAAGATCCAGCGGGAGGCGGGGCCACGTGACCGCGCGTGACGTCAGGGCCGCGGTGGAGCCGGCCAAACTCAAGTTGGTTCAGGGAATTGTCAACAAAGGGACAAGAGAAGCGCAACTCCTGACCGACAAGGCGCTAGCATCCCGTGGGCCCCCGAGGGCTCTTCGGGCTGCCGGGAGACCCCTGCTCACGCTGGAGCCGGGCGCCGGGTCCAGGGAGGGCGTGAGTGTGGGTGGGTGGGGGTGGAGAGGGTGTGGGCCTCAGAGAGTGTCCTCCGGACCGTGGGGCTCCTACCGCCCTGCCTTCTCCGCCCCCTGCCCTTTTCTGCCTTCCCTACTTTGCTAATATTATTCAGACCGACTCGCAGTGCAGAACAAGATTGTTGTTTTTAAGAAAACTTATGATTTTGCTTTGGTTTGGGTTTTTGTTTGTTTTCGATCCAAGGATTAAGGGAACACATCCGGCTCCCTTTTCCTAATTAGGCCTCGTACCCCCTCCTGTCTCAGGGCTATTCTAGAAACAAGACACCTGCTGATGAGCTTCCCCATCATTTTCAAACCTAACTACTCAAGCCTTATCCTAGCTTCCCTGGCTCCATGCGGGCTTGCATATAAATATACATATATATTCGCATGGTCACAACACCATCAGCTGCGGTTTCCCGGGGTCAGAAAATAGCTATCGATTAACCTATTAGGATAGTTGCAGAGAAATAAAAAGAATGTAAAATAACAGGGAACCTATAAACAAAGAAGCCATAACTGGCTGTTGGAGTTGTTAAACGACTTAGCACAGAAAAAGTCGGAAATGAGCTGGAAATGGAGCAGGTGTTGGCAGCGGCCTGGGTAAGTCGGGTGGGGTGGGGTGGGAAGGAGGCATTGGGCCTTGGTATTAGACGTCGCGCGCACGGACTGGGACAGTTGGAAAATTGTGGGGAGCGGGCGCAGACTTCCTGAGCAGAGGGCACGGCCTCCAAGGAGCCAGAGTGCTTTAGGGCAAAGCCGGCGGGTGAGTTCACCTTTGCTTCCAACTAATGTGAGTTATTTCTTAAAGCACAGGCAAACCCTTCAAGACTTAACCTGGGCAGAAACCTGCGTCAAAGAAGAGGCGAGGATGTGTCCAGCGCACAAGGAGTTTCCCTGACAAGGAATGCCAGCGATGGTAGGAAAGACCAGGAATTCCCAGAGATGCTGGGGGCGGGGGTGGGGGTGGGGGCGACTTTAAACTGACCCAGAGTTGGCGCCTAGTGCTCCTGGGACTAGTGGATTCGGTATATCCGAGGGGAGTTGCTCCTCCCAACCCCGGTGGTTCTTAGAATCCTTGTTTTTTCCCTCTGCCTTTAGGCCGCTCCTCTGTCAGAGAGCAGTTACCGCTTGTGGCCCTCTTGAAACCAGACTAGTCTGTCAGCTGAAGGCCTGGGATGGAAAGGCCTTTTCTCCCAGGGTATGAAAGAATGAGAGAGGAAGTCAGGGAGGAAACAATTTCTGTGGTGCTTATAGAAAATAGTGGAAAAGTTATGTACTTCCAGTTTGCCAGTGTGCTTCTGATTCCCATGTCCTGTGCCCTCACCTAGACCCACTTTCCCAGGATCATCAAATTAATTAAAAAAAATTGTTTTAATCTGTAAACTTTTTTTTAAACAGGCATTAGGACAACAGATTGACTGTTATCCCCAGCCTATACCACTAGCCTTTTGAATATGGACTTCGATGATGTTCCGTGTTGGGGCTGCTGCTGGGTGGGTGGGAACACTGACTATCCAGAGAAGTCTGGAATCTCCATGTTTTTTTGTTTCCAGTTGTTCTCGGGGGTTACACCTGACCCTAAAACGCACGTCTGAGTTGATTTCTGCTGCTGCACCACTTGTGACCCGCTGGCTCATAAAAGCATCTTCTACGCTGACTAGACAGTCCTCTCTGGAAACCGACAGGAGCTACGAGCTGGGCCTGGCTGCCTATCACCCTAGGCAAGAGTTACAGTGGCAACTGCCCAAGCGACTCAAAGAAAGGTGGGGAGGAAAAGAAAACATAATCCAAATTTACCAATTCAGGAACGCCTTTCGCCCAATTTGGATTGCCAGGCGATAGCCGCAGGCGCAAAGCTGTGCGCGGACCGGACTGCGGTCTTGATAGCCGGGCCTCCAGTGGAGCGGTGCGTGCCGGTGCGCGCGCCGAGAACCCAGGCTCCAAGGCTGCTTACGGGGTCTCCTTTTGAGATACTCTCCAAATGAGCCTAATTTCGATTTCTCCGTGGGCCTGAGCTGGCTCCGGAGACTTTCTCCGCGTCGCCATTGGCAGCCTCTCCCCCTCCGCCAAGGCCGGATCTGGGCGGTCCATTCCCGTGTGTCTCCTTGGAAGCTCTCTAGGGAAGGGGGTGGTGAACAACTCCCAGCTGCCGGTTCCATTTGTTGCGCTTTTCTCCTTCGACACAATAAAAGTCAAATTAATTGATTCATACCATTAATTACGGTGCGTAGCGTGAAAAGCAACGCTTCCCCTCGGTTAGAGCTCTATTGTGCTAATCTCTTGTTCAATCAGTGTTACCATCTGATGCTGGGTCCGGCCCCTACAGAAACTTTTCGACTCGATTAGCTAAATGATGAGACGTGCAGAACCTACTGGCTGCTTGCTGCCCCCAAACCTGGAGCCCGCGCGGGCCTAGTGGCTTAATATCGATTTCTAGGGGAGGCCGCGGAGATTCCCGCGGTCGCTCTGTTTGGGGACCCGCTGTGGCTTTCCTCCTGCCGGGTGGACTCTGCTGTGCTGTGTCGGCACAGCCTCTGTGCGAGAGAAGGCGGCTGAGCGGCAGTACAGGTGGTAGACCGGAAGGTTCCCGGGGCCCTCATCGCGGGAAGCTTCCTGGATTCCAAGCTAAACAGCAGCGAGATTGTAGCTTGCATCTAAAAACCCAGGTCCTCATTTACCGCCAAACTTAGGGATAGAAATAGAGACGTGAGAAGGGGGGGGGGGGGTTGATACACATTGGGGGAGAGAGGGAGTGGTACAGGGAACAGAAATGGTGGGCAAGGATAAACATTCAGTCGCCAAAGATTATTTGGGGCACTGAGGGAGAAGGGGCGCACACACTAACACAGTTAAGCGTGAGAGTGACAGCGTGGGTCAGCTAGCAAACTTCCCAGGAGATATTTAAAAGGAAGATGGCCGCCAGCGGTCTCACCTGCTCAAGTCTTGGGAACGATTCTGCCTAATGAGAGTGAAGTGAAGAACAGAAACTCCGGTTTCTCGCGGGGCTGACAGGATAGGTAGTATCACGGGGCTGGAGGAGACCCCGGAACAGGCCCGGGAGTGAAGGGGGAACTAAGGTTCTAGTCACAGGAGGAAAGAGTGGTCAGGATCGATAGGAAGGAAAATTGAGACGTCTCCAGAGGAGGAGAGATTTAGTGTGTGCGTCCTGGAAGGGAAGGATGTGGATGGAACAATTTATGACGGAGAAGGGGGAAATTAATTACAACTCAATTTGGATTCTTAAGTGGTCAACACCGGAGGAGGGGCTGGGTCAGAGAGAGCGGGAAGCATGATAGTCCACGCAGGCCTAGGCGACCCCAGTCGCTGCCTTTCCCTAAGTCAGGGACTATGGCATGGGCTTGACCAAGTCATTGAAGCAGACGGATGATCCTGCGCGCAAATGCACTTTTCTAACAATCCGGGAAGGCGAGGCCACCTCCGGAGAAGCAGCCTCCTCCGGAGAAGTCAGGGGAGCGTCCCCCACTCAGGGCAGCTACTTTCTTTAGCAGAGAAAACAAACCAATGGGTGGAATTATTTGAAAGGCGGCCCTCCTTCCAGGATCCATTACCTACCCGCCCCCCAAGCCGAAGTCTGTTCCTTCTGGACAATTTTCATAGACTTATTAAACCATCATCAACCTCTTTGTCTGGATGGCTGCCACCGAAGAAGGTGGGAAGGGCAGAGGTGGTGTCTGGGGTCCCGACCCTTGCAGAATATATCCACTGCCCAATGGGAATGCTTTTCAACACACTTTCACCCCCCAAACACCGGCCCCCATACCTCTTCGGAGCTCTCTGGGGAAGGGTTGGGGGGGAGAGGCTAATTTAGTGTTCTTGTTTAGATTTACATCTCAAAACTTCATTTATTTTCAGTACCTGGTACCTACAGTCCGCGTGCCTATAAATGGCGAGAGACCAGAAGGAAAGGAGAACAGAGAGGGGGGAGAGAGAGGATGGTTTCGAATTTATTTATATTGGAAATGTATAAACATCCATTCTGTAAAAGGCAACACGTTTAATTAACGATGAGAGAGCAGTTAGGGGCAGAAAGCTAGTAAAATTGTGTGATAAATTTATGGCATTGTTAGCGTGCTTTTAATTATGGCTATTATGTTAATTATTTCACATTAGCATGGAGTTATCAGCAGCATGTCAGATTTAATCAAAACGAGCCTTTCTCTCGAAAATTGTTCTTTTCATTCGCGAGGAGAAAGATCCTGGGCAGGATCGGGGCTTAAAAATGACTTGGCATTGAAAGCTAGAGTCTTGCCGACGCTGTTCCATGCGACACCGCGGGCCCGGCGTCCGCTGGGTCCCTCCAGGCTAACGGTAGCTGCTGGAGAAGCCGAGGGCTGGGTTTTTAGGAATTCACCATTTTCACCCCCTTCGGAGCCGACACTTCATCACGCGGGATCATTCTGTCAAACAATATGATGCTGCTCATTTTTATCTGTCCCGCTTTACAAAATCCCTATTCAGCCGGCCGAAGAGCAACAAAAGCCTCAAAGCCGCACCGCGGCGGCTGGCGGCCCCAGCTCCACGGCGAGCAGGAGGAAAAAGGGAAGGGGCCGAGGCGAGTCTCGTTGCTGTCCGCCGCTCGCAGTCCGAGGGGACGTGACCCCCCTTCCCCTCCGGGCCAGGGTGCCCAGGTACCGGGTCCTCGGGTGTGACCGTCCCGGCACGCCTGTCCCCAGCCCGGGCTGGCTGGCCCTCCGCCGTCCTGCGGGCGCGCGCAAAAGCCTCTTTCCATGGCAGCGAGAGACTTGCCCACCCAGGCCACATCGATTTCTTAATCACCGCCGATCGATTTATTGGAAACGTTTTGGAAACGTTTCAATTGTGGGTCTGATGGTGGGGCACTGAGACGGGGAGAGCCGGGGCGCCGAGAGAACGCGACCACCCGTGGGCCTCGAGAGAGCGCGTGGTGGCAGCGATGCGCCCACATCTCCGGGGCCCACCCACCTCCCCCAGGGTCCGCGTCTTCTCCTCTTCCCCTCAGCTCCCCCTAGTGGCGGGGCACGACATCTGGACGCCCCGCCCTTCTACCCTCACTTCCAGGCACGTGCGCATGCCCTCTGACGTTTTTGAAAGCCCAGAGCATCCTGATGCCTAGCCTGAGATTTGCCAGCCTGACCGACACCCCTTTCTGGCTTCCGACAGTTGAGTGGAACCTCGGTGATCCTCGGACCCAGGCTGCAGACGCTGTACCTTCTGGCCGCTCCCAGCGCGGGACCACTCTGGCCCCCTCCTTTCCCGGGACAGAGCCGAGGACCTGCCAGCTGCTACCTTATTTTTAGCGCCATTCCATTCGCGCAGTTATATTTAACTCGATCCACTCCTCCGAGGAGGTCTCTCGGACATCGAATTCTCCACATCGCAACTCGGTCCTGCCTGCCTGCCTTGGGAGCAGAGCCTCAGAGGGGTGGTGGGGGTGTGTGTGGAAAAACCTGGCCTAAGAATCTTTGCCATCTCGGGACCTGGCAGGAGAGAGGACGATTCTGCATCGGTCGCTAGACCCCCTTGCCAAGGCCTCGTGGGGATTCTGCCTTGTGAGCGGGAGGGAAGGAGAGGGAGGAGTATCAGGTCTAGGGAAGGATTCTCTGCGGGGAAACATGCAATCCATTTCCTATTTATGCATGACCCCCAAGCACCAGAACGACCTAGAACACCTATTAGAACGCTGTACACCAAAATGTTCATGGTTTTGTGTTGATGCAGGAATTCCCTGTCCTCTCTACTCGGAAATACACGCATTGAGAAACTAAATTTCAAATGGTATCTTGGTTCCTGAGCTCCAGAGCTGTCCTTCCCTTGGCAAAATCTGAAAACACCAAGCCTCTGGCTCGCACACATCCTGGGGAAAAATACTTGAATAGCATACAGAAACACCAATGCAGCGTATACCCTGTTCACATGGGAGGTCCAACGGAGTTTACAAAACCCAAAGCCGTGTGCTGAAACACAGGACTGTGAAACACACTTAACTTCTCACATACTTTTAAAAAGTGACTTTTTTTTTTCCCTTGGACCCAATTTGGATGTTTCTGGCTCCCTCTGGTTGTAGCTTTCCTGTGATGTGGAAACTCTTGGGATTTGGAAGCTGAGGGGCGGCGGAGGCGGGGGGGGGGGGGGGGGGGGGGGGGGGGGGGGGGGGGGGGGGGGGGGGGGGGGACGGGACTTGTTAATAACTATGCATTCACTAAGACTTTATTTCCAGAGCCTGTTTTAGGCTCTGGAAAGTGCTAGTGATGAAAAGAATTAAAAGTCTGAGGAAGAGCAGGCTACAGAATCTCCCTTAGGCAAAAAGGACAGCTCAGCAGGGCCCGGATGGAGTGGAGAATGAGAAGGGGTGAGACTTTCCGGTTCAGGGGAGAAAGCTGGATGAGGTGACACACCCTTAATCCCAGTAATTCCAGGATTCCGAAGGCTGGGGCAGGAGAAGGGTGCCATTTCAAGCCAACCTGGATTGGGTAGGGAGACCCTGGCTCAGAACAGATACGAAAACCAGAAAAACTGCAAATCAAACCAAACACACAGTCTAGCTACTGACGTTAGGGATATCGGTGGAATATTAGGAAGAAGGGAACTGAAAACTGCGAATACCTTGGGAAAGTACTAGGTTGAGTGCCTAACAGTACCTCTGGAGAGCCAGAGGTGCTTATGAGGGAAATGCACAGTACAAATGCACACACAGTGTGGCCAGGACATCAAAGAAGGAAGAAATTAGGGAAGGGGGGAGTGGAAAAGTGGAACTTCGGGGCTGGGGACGTTAAGAGTGAGATGTACTGCTCTTGCAGAAGGCCGGTCAGTTCCCAGCATTGACATAGGGCAGCACACAACCGCCTGCAGCGGACTGACTTCTCTGACCTCCTTAGGCACTCCACATACACCCACATACATGAACATATCCGCGCCCACATACACATTTAAAAAAACAAACCTTCTTTTTGAAAAATGGAACTTTGCCTAGAAGTTGTGCCTGGGGCTATTGTGACCTCCTTTTAGAAGGCATGAAAGGATGCTGACTAGTAAACACATAGGAGGCATTTCAATGGGCACATATGCAAATGGGAAAGATTACCAGGAAGGTAACTACAGGAGAGATTATTGAAAGGGCCGAGTGGTAGACCCCCTGACTTTTCTGACTTTACCACATTCATACAAGCCCAGAACTGGAATAAAGAGTGAGAAGGCAA